TCTCTCTCTCTCTCTCTGACTACCTCTTTCTCACGTTCTCTCCTTCTCTCTCTCGCTCTCTCTTTATCTCCCTATCTATATTTCTCGCCCTTTCTCTCAATGACAATGACAATGATAATCTTTATTCTCGGAGGGAGAAATTTGTCTTGGTCGTTAACAATGGCAGTAGATGTTAAAAGGTTAGGTGCACTCACGCATAGCAAAACAAGACATGCGTGTGCATGTGTGTGTCTCTGTGTCTCTGTCTGTCTGTCATGCATTTTCAGTTTGGTAGGAATTAATTTGGATTTTTGCCTGGGTGGCGGCCGAAGCCTACTCTTAAGGACTTTGGACCACCAATGGATCTTTAACGTTCTAAACTGAAGAATATTTTGTGGATAAGAAGTCAAGATTGAAAAGCATGACTGGAATTAGCCATTTCGTACTCTGTGTGTACTCTTCTAGCCATCTTTGCGGACCCTGTTTTCCCAAAGTGTACGAACAAGTGCAAGTGCCGATGGCATCATCGACATAAAGACGTATCCTGCTTCGGTTATCCCGGCGAGCGAATCCCACGGTCTGAGTTGCTTGAGCTCGGCTCTAGACCAGTTAACTTGGAATTCCAGCAACCAGAGCTATTGCACGTACATGCAGGAGATTTCCCACCACACGCCAACATCGCAAGTCTCAGAATTTACATTACATTACATACATACATTATTACACTTTTATTTGTCCCAGAAGAGCACTTTGTTTTACAATGGCAAACATACATACATAAATACATAATTATAAATACGTACATACATGTATACATACATGCATAAATACATGCATAAATACATACATAAATTCACACTATTACACAAATACAGAACAGTTTACAAACAATGCCACTGTCGGTCGCCACTGTGCAGCGCCCTATAATTTGAGCTAGGGTTGTCGTGTCTTGCTCAAGGACACACTCCAGTAACCACCCATCTGATCCCCGTGTCACAGACATGCTAGAGTCAAAACTCAATACTCACTTAGCCACTGGAGCCCTCAGGGAAGTATGGGATAATATATAGAGGAAATGGATAGGATGAAGCTAAATAAAAAAAGTTTGGTTTTTCAGAAGTTAGGTGGGAGGGGGCAGGCTTGATTAAAAGAGGATCAAAAACAATAGTATACACAGGAGGAAAAAAACATGAAAGAGGAGTCGGAATTTCATTTGACGAAGCAACAGCAAAGAGCATCAAAAGTTTTTGGGGAGTGTCAGATAGAATCATCGTGGTTAAATTGGAAGGAAAACCTTTTGACAATAGGTGTCATCCAAATATATGCACCAACATCAGAGCATGACAACAAGGAAATTGTGACTTTTTATGAAGACCTTGATAAGGCAATGAAACAGTTAAAATCATAAGATGAAACGGTAGTAATGGGGGACTTTGATTCCAAAGTAGGAAGTACACGTATACAAGATATTTGGGCCTTGGGGGACTGGGTAAAGAGAATGAACGAAGGGAACGACTGATAGAATGGTTCAGAGAAAATAATTTTATGATATCAAACACCTGGCATGAAAATCACCCAAGAAGACGATACACTTGGAAGAGTCCTGGCGATAGAAGTAGAAATGAAGTAGACTTCATACTTATTCAGAAACGTTTTAGAAATACTATAAGTTGTCTAAATCACTGCCAGGAGCAGACTGTGATAGTGACAACGTACCAGGCAATTGTAAAATGCAGATGAGACTGAAGAAACTAAAAAAGTCAAAAGTACGAACTAAAATGTGACATAGATCTTTTAAAGACACAACGAGAACTGAGAGAATGTTTCTCCATAGATGTAAGCAATAAATTTCAAGCTTTGGAAAACATAACTAAATCGGAAGAACTATATCTATGGAGGAAAATGAAAAACTAAATAATGGAAGCTGAGGAAGAAAATATCCCCCCCCCCCCCTTTCCACGACTCGAAAGCTCTAAAA